TAATTGGTACAATTTGGATTTGGGTGAATCGATAGTGCTGGAACAATGAACGTTGGAATTAGTATCATTGTAGGGATGTAGGATTAGGGTCAGTATTCAGTTTAACAAATTAACACTTATGGGTACTAAATGGTTCTAAATTTGGTACATTTTTATTTTAGGTGAACCAATAGAGCTAGAATCATGCAATTTGGAGTCAGGATCACTGTTAAAGTGTAAGATTGAAATATTTAGTAAGTTTTAGAAATTTGTACTAATGTGCACTAAATTTGGTACAATTTAAATTGTGGGTGAAGCGATAGAGTTGAAATCATTAACTTTTGATTTAGGATCACTGTGGAGGTGTAGGATTTGGGTATTTAGGAAGTTTTGGAAATTGGTACTATTGTGTACTAAATTTTGTACAATTTAAATTGTGGGTGAACCGATACTGTTGGAATCCTGAAACTTGGATTTTGGATCACTGTGGGTTTTTGGGTTGGTTTGGGATAAGAAGGAGGTTCTTGAAATTCGTACTACTTTGTACTAAATTTGGTACAATTTGAATTGTTGGTGAACTGATAGAGTTTGAATTCCGGAAACTTAGATTTAGCATCACTGTGTGGGTGTTGGTTTGGGTTAAGTAAGAAGTTTTGGAAATTCGTACTACTGTGTACTAAATTTGGTACAATTTGAATTGTGGATTTTGGATCAATGTGGGGGTGTAGGATTGGGGTATGTAGGAAGTTTTGGAAATTGTTACAACTATGTGGGTGCACCAATAGAGTTGGAATTCTGAAACTTGGATTTAGGATGACTGTGGGAGTATAGGTTTGGGCTAGGAATGAGGTTTTAGAAATAAGTACTACTGTGCACTAAATTTGGTACAATTTAAATTGTGGGTAAACCGATAGAGTTAGAATCCTGAAACTTGGTTTTAGGATCACTGTGGGGGTGTAGGATGGGTTATATAGGAAGTTATGGAAATAATGTGTGCTAAATGGAAAATTTGGATTTGGGTGAACCTTTAAAGCTCGAATAATGAAATTTGGTACTAAATGGTACTCAAATTTAATTTATGGTCGATGTTAATACACATTTAAATATTTCCTACATTCGCTAACGAAGTTGCGGGCATATGCTAGTTTTCACTGTTAGAAAGTATTTTGTATTTTTTAAATAACACACCCCTAAAACATACCTAACTTAATTTGTTTCTTATTTTTCAGTTTGTCCTTAATTCCAATAAGTACATTTAAAATTCTGAAATTTGACGTCATGTATAAAGCGATTTTAATTTTTACTTATGTTGTTGTTGCTATTATTTTTGTTCGCAATTTTTTTTATCACTTTCTTTTTTGACAAATTGATTAAAACGCAATTTCTTGACTACCTACAAAAATGTCGGTAGGTAGGTATGTGCGATGCGATATCAAAAAAAAAAAAATACATTGAACTTGCAAACAACAAAAACAACAACAATAATAAGAAGTTAATTATATACGTAGTATATTTATCGCAAATATTTCTATTCAAAACAAATGAAATTTTTTATTTTATTTGTTATCAAATTAAAATACACAAAATAATAAAAACATGAATGATACAAATCAAAAAAAAAAATGTGTCCATGAACAGCAGTTTTGAATTCCTGGAAATCTAAAAAAATAATAAAAAAATGAAAATAAATAAACAAAAATAATAAATAAGTCACCAAGTGATTATATATCTTCCACCTTTCCCGCTAAACAATTTGCCAATATTTTTCTGACAGTTATTTTCTAAAGTAACCTAACTTCGATTATGATTCATATAAGAACAATATCTTGACAACGAATTTATGGTGGGGGCTAATGATAAAAAAATTAGGTTATGGTAACAATTTTCATTACCATGTCTATAATTATAAATTTCCGTTCGCATCACGCTTGGCCTACAAAAGCCTCTTCAAAAAACTTAAGTAAATAACTAAAAACTACAACAACAACAATTTAATGAAATAATGTTTACTTGCAAAAAAAATAAACACCAACAAAAATACCAACATTCCCCGACGCTTTGCGTTCATTGACTTTAATTTATTTGTCGCACTTCGTCGGTGTGCTAAAAATAACCCAACAAAATACAAAACTGATTAGAGCCCCCCGCTTTTCTTACTATTTTTAAACACATTCAGGGAATTCGACTCTATATCAGCTAATATTTTTAAACAGAGATAGTAATGTGTTCGTGGACTATGACCGATTGGGGAGGTGGGGTTTTTCTTACCAAGTGTTTTCAAAAATACCGAAAATCGGAGATTTCCATTATAATGGAGATATATAGAAATATTGGTTGATATCATTTTTTTTAGTAGGAAGAATATTTGTCACCCAATGAGAAGCCAAAATATCACATTCCACCCAATTCGGTTGGAAAAACGTGTCCAAAATCCGCAGAATACCGGAAATCAGAGGTACCTTTATGTGGGGCCTATACCAAAATTTCGACCAATATTAATAATTTTTGGGGGAACGATTTTCCACCTAATGAGAACCCAAAATAATAAATTCCAGTTAATTCGTTCGAAAAACGTGTCCAAAATCCGCAGAATACCGAAAATCGGAGGTACCTTTATGTGGGGCCTATACCAAAAATTCGACCAATATTAATAATTTTTGGGGGAACGATTTTCCACCTAATGAGAACCCAAAATATTAAATTCCCGCCAATTCGTTCAAAAAACGTGTCCGAAATCCTCAAAATACCGAAAATCGGAGGTACCTTTATATGGGGCCTATACCAAAAGTTTGACCGATATTGATGATTTTTGATAGAAAGATTTGCCACCTTATAAGAACCCAAAATATCAAATTATATACAATTTGGTTGAAAAATGTGTCCGAAATCCTCAAAATATCGAAAATCGGAGGTACCATTATATAGGGCTTATAGCAAAAGTTTGATCGATATTGATAATTCTTGGTAGGATGATTACCCACCTAATGAGAACCCAAAATATTAAATTCCAGCCAATTCGGTTAAATAACGTGTCCATAATCCTCAAAATACAGAAAATCGGAGGTACCTTTATATGGGGCCAACAGCAAAAAGTGGACTAATATTGATAATTTTTGGTAGGAAGGTTTTCCACATAATGAGAACCCAAAATATTAAATTCCAGCCAATTCGTTCGAAAAATGTGTCCGAAATCCTCAAAATATCGAAAATCGGAGGTACCTTTATATGGGGCCAACACCAAAAAGTGGACTAATATTGATAATTTTTTGTAAGAAGGTTTTCCACTCAATGAAAACCCAAATTAACAAATTCCAGCCACTTCGGTCGGAATACGTGTCCAAAATCCTCAAAATACCGAAAATCGGAGGTACCTTTATATGGGGCCTATACCAAAAAGTGCGACCGATATTGATAATTTTTGGTAGGAAGATTATCCACCTAATGAGAATCCAAAATATCAAATTACAGCCAATTTGATGCAAAAATGTGTCCAAAATCCCCAAAATGCCGAAAATCGGAGGTACCGTAATATGGGGGTTATACCTAAAATTTAACCGATATTGATAATTTTTGGTAGGAAGACTATCAACCTAATGAGAACCCAAAATATAAAATTATAGCCAATTCGGTTGAAAAATGTGTCCAAGATCCTCAAAATACCGAAAATCGAAGGTAACTCTATATGGGGGCTATACCAAAAATTTGACCCATATTGATAGTTTTATGTAAGAATATTTGTCACATAATGAGAACCTAAAATATAAAATTATAGCCAATTCGGTTGAAAAAACTTGTCCAAATCCAAATACGGAAAATCGGAAGCACGTTTTAATGGGGGGATATACCTAAAGGGTAAGGGATATCGATTTCCCCTTTTAATGACAACCCACAAATGCTCCTAAAAATATTTTTAATAAATCTTAGACGCCTTAATGACTACAATGGATGATAACTTTAAAAACAAGCAACATTCTTCGTTAATACACCAGAGCAAAAAAGTAATAGCCTGCCAATTTTCTTAAAATAATCTACTCCTTATACGATGCTCCTAAAAAAATTCTTTAATAAATCCACGCCTTATAAGATGCTCCTAAAAATATTCTTTAATAAATCCACGCCTTATAAGATGCTCCTAAAAATATTCTTTAATAAATCCACGCCTTATAAGATGCTCCTAAAAATATTCTTTAATAAATCCACGCCTTATAAGATGCTCCTAAAAAATATTCTAAAAATCCACGCCTCAGTTGGCCATCTAAAAATATTCTTTAATAAATCCACGCCTCAGTTGGCCCTTGAAAAATATTCTTTAATAAATCCTCGCTTGGTGGGGTACTCCGAAAAAATATGCTTCAAAAATTCTACAATTAAAAAATGTTTATAATTTATTTATATATTGGAAAAATACAACAATTACATATTTATTTATTTGTTGTTGTTATTCTGTTTTTGTTTTGTTTTTTACTTTCAGTGCCAGAAAACTAATCAACAACAACATTCGGAACCTTGAGGTGTGGCGATAAACAGCCGCATACATAACTTTCGATGCAATGAAAAAGTTCCCGGATTTCAAAACCCAAAAGACATTTAAAAAACAGAATAGGCAAAATGCTACAAAAACAACAACAACCACAACAACAAATACCAATTGTAATACAATACGAAGACGGCATTTTTCTTAAAAACATTCCTTGATAAACTACAACAACAAAAACAAATTACAAAAACAAAATCAGCAGCAACAAACACAGCCGCAAACATAGCCAACTAGCAAATTTATTTCAAAGGCTAAACAACAACGAATAGAAAACGAGGAAACATCAGCTAGCTAGCCAGCCAATTGATTCAGCATATCACAACCATATCGTCTGGAAAGAACAACAACAACGAACCACCGACTCAAACCACCTGGAAAATCTCAAATTTACTCTTCAACTTTCTTTTTACACCCAATTGTGTTCAATTCCCTTCCCCTCTTCTTTTTCGATAAGTTCTTTGGGGGGCGCTTTTCTCCATCCCTCTCACTCTCACACAAATGAATTTCAATCCAGCTGCATTACGCAACAGTCTGATGCAGGCCAAGATCATGGAATGGACCAATGATGATGCCCTCGAACTCATCGAACAGTATCGATCCCATACAGAGCTGTGGAATCGTGCCGATCCAAAGTACAAAGATAAGCTGTGTCGCTTTCGCGCATGGTCGGAAATTGCCGAACGTTTTGGGTGCAGCAAGGCCGAGGTTGAGCGTAAAATGAATGTTCTGCTGACGCAGTATCGACGGGAGAAACATAAAATGTTGGTGAAATTGTATCAGGGCATACAGCCAAATCCATCCAAATGGTATGCATTTAAGCGTTTCGATTTTATGGAGGCCGGTGGTGGTAGTGCCAGTTCAATGGCCGGCATTGCGGGTGGAGGAGTAGGAGGCGGAGGTGTAATTGGTGGTGGTGGCGGCGGTGTTGTTGGTGCTGGGGCAGTTAGTAGTGGCATTAATGGTGGTAGTTCTAGTTCAGCGTTAAACAATAGTGGCAATAGTTCCGGTAACGGTGGCATCACAACCAACGGTCATCATCATCATCACCAGCAGCAGCATCATCATCCGCATCATAATCCGCATCAGCAACATGCAGTGGCGGCAGCAGCCGCTGCTGCGGCGTTGAATGGTTTAACAGCGTCCGGTTATGAATCGGCAACGGCTGCATCATCAGGACCCACAATAGCTCAACATCGGCGAATGCGAAGTAAGGAGATGAAATATTTTGGAGCGGTAAGTGATAAAAACTCTACTTTAGAAAACTTCATTTTTAAATATCCAATATCACGCCTTGAACATATTCATTAAATTCCACGCCTTGGATGAATGTCCCTAAAAATATTCCTTAAAAATGTTAAGCCTTTGATGATCGTACCTTAAAGTATCCCTTAAAAATCTATGCATCGGTGGTCGTCTAAAAATATTCTCAAAAATCTACTCCTTAATATAGTCCTTAAGAAGATGCACATTCAGAAGAAGGTCTTGAAAAAATTTTTTTAAAAAATCCACAATCCTAAAAATAGTCTTTAAAAAATCGACGATCCTAAAAATAGTCTTTAAAAAATCGACGATCCTAAAAATAGTCTTTAAAAAATCGACGATCCTAAAAATAGTCTTTAATAAATCAACGCTCAGCTGATACTCCTAAAAATAGTCTTTAAAAAATCGACAATCCTAAAAATAGTCTTTAAAAAATCTACGCCCCTAAAAATAGTCTTTAAAAAATCTACGCCCCTAAAAATAGTCTTTAAAAAATCTACGCCCCTAAAAATAGTCTTTAAAAAATCTACGCCCCTAAAAATAGTCTTTAAAAAATCTACGCCCCTAAAAATGGTTTTTAAAGAATCTACACTCAGCTGTAAAATAAAAATAGTCTTTAAAAAATCTACGCCCCTAAAAATAGTAGTCCTCACTAAAAAATGTATTAAAAAAATCCACGACAAGTAGTAGGCATCCCTAAAAATAGTCTTTAAAAAATCAACGCTAGCGCCTCCTAAAAATCGTCTTTAAAAAATCTACGCCCCTAAAAATAGTCTTTAAAAAATCTACGCCCCTAAAAATAGTCTTTAAAAAATCTACGCTCTGCTGATACTCCTAAAAATAGTCTTTAATAAATCTACGCTCAGCTGATACTCCTAAAAATAGTCTTTAATAAATCTACGCTCAGCTGGCACTCCTAAAAATAGTCTTTAATAAATCTACGCTCAGCTGATACTCCTAAAAATAGTCTTTAAAAAATCCACGCCTGGTCTGTCCAAGGCCTTGAAAAAATATTCTTTAAAAAATCCACGCCTGGTCTGTCAAAGGCCTTAAAAAATATTCTTTAAAAAATCCACGCCTGGTCTGCCCAAGGCCTTGAAAAAATATTCTTTAAAAAATCTACGCCCACGGTCTGCCCAAGGCCTTTGAAAAAATATTCTTTAAAAAATCCAAGCCCACGGTCTGCCCAAGGTCTTGAAAAAAATATTCTTTAAAAAATCCACGCCTGGTCTGTCCAAGGCCTTGAAAAAAATATTCTTTAAAAAATCCACGCCTGGTCTGTCCAAGGCCTTGAAAAAAATATTCTTTAAAAAATCCACGCCTCGTCTGTCCAAGGCCTTGAAAAAATATTCTTTAAAAAATCCACGCCTGGTCTGGTCCAAGGCCTGGAAAAAATATTCTTTAAAAATCCACGCCTGGCCAGTCCAAGGCATTGAAAAATATTTTTTGCTTGAAGAAATATATTTTAAAAATCCACGCCTTGGCTGGGTGGTTTTGTTTAACCCTTGAAAAAATATTTTTTTTAGTTTTTAAGATAAACCTAAAATCATTCTCCCCAAAAATATGCTTTACAAAAATCTTCCATCCCAAAAATACACTTTAAAAAAACCTGTCGCCCCTCTTTTTCGTTGAACCTCTTCAAAATAAGAGCGCAGTAACAACAACAACAAGTTGGTTGGTCCTCACAGTTAATGCTCTCTGAGATAATATTAAACAAAAGACAGAAAAAAACAACAACAACAAATTATTCGTAACAAAATAAACAAACAGGTGCTTAATCCCCATCGAATGGGTGCCGCAAGGGGGCTGGCTGTTCGTTCATTCGATGGGTGTTCTTTCTCCTTGGTTGGCAGTATAAGAGAGTGAATTATACGAAAAACAACAACAACAACCACGTCGACGACGATGACAACAAACACAGCAGCAATGAAGGAAATTCTTCTGTGGCAAATGATGGGGGGTCATAATGATGAATGTTTTGTTTTTGCAGGTTTTTTATTTTTCATTCAAGTATTATTGACACAGAGTCGTCGAATACGAACATTCGTACGTACGGGTGAATGCGTTAGCAAATTTTTGTAAACAGTAAAAGTTCCCCGATGGAGAGGGGAACTAGAGTTAGTGACTAAAATGGAGAGGATATTCATGAGATAGGCTAACATTACATGGTATTACGTAGATCAACTATAGTCAGTAGAACTTCTAAAGGTCATATATTGTCAGAATATATTGGGACCGTAGGGGATGATAGATACCAAGCGACATCTCTGATTGGCTTTAACATGGCGAGGTACAGACTTATCTTGGTCCCTCTTTCGTCTCAATTGTGGACTCTGACCTCCCCGCGGTGTTACCTGGGGTAACTATTTTTATCATCCATTGAAATAGTGAGCTGATATGTGCCTCGAGTTCACCCATAAAAACTATAAAAATGGGTTGAGGCGTCGGGTTAGTTGCCCACATTCGGCAAACACCTCCTACTATGAAAAAGCAAAGAAAAAGGAAACCAAACCCCCCTAATGTTCACCACCCCCGCAAACATATAAATGACCACGATCTGCGAATCTGCACTTGGAATATGCGTACCTTGTACAGAACAGGCGCAGTTTTCGCTTTGGCGGATGTACTCAAGAAGTACAAAGTCGATATTATTGCCTTACACGAAATGTGATGGAAAGGGACAGGCGTAAGTAAATCAGAGGATTACGCACTGTATTATAGCTACCATGAAACAATACATGATTTTGGCTGCGGGTTTATGGTTAATAGGAGAATAAAAGACCTCGTCTCCAGATTCACTCCAATAGATGAGCGAATTGCTATAATCCGCATAAAAGCGAAGTTCTTCTACATCAGTCTTATCTGCGCCCATGCTCGGACCGAAGATAAAGAATTCATCTTATGAGCGCCTAGAAACAGCATATGATCGCTGCTCTGGCTACGACATTAAAATTCTGCTAGGAGATTTGCAAATGCAAAAATCGGAAGGGAAAATATCTTTGGCCCCACCATCGGAAAATTCAGCCTTCATGAAGAAACATCCGACAACGGCATGCGGTTGATTGACTTCGCGGCAGCAAAAAATATAGTAGTTAGCAACACCAGATTCAAGCATCCCGATATACACAAGTCCACCTGGATTTCTCCTGATCGAAGAATGAGGAATCACATTGATCATGTTGTAATAGACGGAAGGCATTCATCCAGTGTATTAGACGTTCGATCGATCCGAGGAGAGAATATCGATCCGGACCATTACCTTGTGGCAGCCAAGGTACGCACCCGTCTTATTGTAGCAGCAAAGATGCGATCTAACACAACGCGGAAACTCGGCATCGAAAAGCTGCAAACACAACAGGGAGCTGATACATACTCCACTCAATTTACCCACCTGCTTGACGATAATAGTAATAGAAGCACAATGACAAAGAATCGCCCACTCCCTACAAACTGCAGCAAAAGCAACACTTGGGTACTAAAAACCACCACCAAGAAACCCATGATACGATCAGGAGTGTCGTAATGCTACTGATCTGAAAAACGCAGCGCACAGAGCAAACCTGCAGACAGTAGCAACACGTAATGCGATGGAGAATTATCGTGAGAAAAGGAGAGAGGAGAAACAGAAAAAAGAAGAAAGGACGAGAAAAACGTGTGCGTGAGTAAATGGAGATGTACAGGAGTCAGAATGAAGTGCAGAAATTTTACCAACGGGCAAAACACCAAACCGAAGGTTTTGGTGCAGGCACATCCTCCTGTAGAGATGTAGAAGGAAACCCAGTGACAGACAACGTGCTGCGGATCTGGAAGAAGCATTTTGAAACGCTTCTGGTATCAAATAGTGGCGGTGAAGAAGATAACCCAGAACCACCTAGCGTGTATACCACCTAGCCGATGGGTTACCAGCCGAACTATTCAAGAATGGTGGTCAGATGCTGGTCAGGGGTATGTACCAGCTGATTAGTATAATTTGGCTAGAGGAATGCATGCCCAATGATTGGAACCTCAGCATCCTGTGTCCCGTGCACAAAAAAGGAGACAAGACGATATGTGCCAACAATAGGGGAATTAGCCTTCTTCGCATATAAAGTGCTATCCAGTGTGCTGTGTGAACGACTGAAGCCAATGGTCAATGACCATACCAATGCTGCAGGTCTGGCAAATCCACCATTGACCAGATTTTCACTCTGCGCCAAATCCTGGAAAAACCCACGAAAAACACATCGACACATTCCACCTATTCGTCGACTATAAAGCCGCATTCGACAGCCCTATCCGTTTAGAGGTGTTTAAGGCCATGTTTACGTTCGGTATTCCTGCAAAATTAATATGGCTATGCTGGATAACTTTAAGTGGCACAAGATTAACAGTTAAAGTCGTAAACATCCTGCTGGAAAAGGTCATACGGACGCAAAAGTGAACAGAAACGACACTCTGTATACCAAACAACACATGTTACTCGCCTACGCCGATGACATCGATATAATGGGTCGAACATTGCGATGTGTAACAGCCACCTTTGATCAAATTGAGTAGGAATCTGCCAAAGTGGGTCTGACAGTAAACGGCGAGAAGAAGAAGAAGTTGATGGTATCAACACGCAAGACGTCCAATAGACTCGGACCAACTGTGGAACTTGAGAACTAAAGCTTCGAGGTAGTTCAAAGGGAGCGTATGATTGTTGTCAGCATTCATACGCACCAGCAGATGTTTGTAATATCATATTCGGTATTGAAATTGAAGTTCTAAGGGAGCGTATGATTATTATCAGCATTCATACGCACCCAACATACACAGATTAATAATAAGGCCTATTAGAGATATTGTATGATTGCACTTCCAAGGGAGAGTATGATTGTTGTCAGCATTCATACGCCTATTTGCGATAGGTCACTTTTGATCAAATTGAGAAGGAGTCTGCCAAAGTGGGTCTGGCAGTAAACGGCGAGAAGACCAAACTGATGGTATCAACA